GTTGTGTTTATTTCTTCTCACCGTTCCCTTCTTCTTCTCAACTACTTTAATAATGGTAGCAGCTGTTTGTGTGTAAAAGAGAGCATGTGTCTGTGTATAATGTGCATGTGTGCGAGTGTGTGTGCGTGTGTACAGAGTAACGGGAGTATGTTTAGGTGTAGTGAATGCGTACATTAGAATGTTTGTGTGTCTGAATGTTCTTTTGTGATGGAATGTAGGAGATGCATATTGCGTGTGTGTGTGTGTGTGAGAGAGAGAGAGAGAGAGAGAGAGAGAGAGAGAGAGAGAGAGAGAGTCAGCATGAGCATACAATGCGGTTATGTTGAAAGCCTGGTATCCACCTGAAGGTGAGTGGACCCCCCTCCCCAACTCATCCAATCCTTCCCCCCTATTCCAACAAGTCCATCCAATTCCAATCACAATGAAAAATTCATAAGAGACTGCGGTACATTGGGCCCAGCGAGAAAGTGAGATCTTGAAAGTCCATTTCAATAATTGATTTACAGTACAGCATCCCGAATAAAGATCAACTGCTTTTCGTCTCATCTCTGAGTCTTTCACTATAAAGAAGTGTCTTTTATTTCAGCATATAACAAATACGAACTCATTTGAAGAACTTTAATAATATCTAGATCTAGAATTCTAGATCTAGATTCCAGATCTAATTCGCGACAACAGTAAACAGGTTCTGAATCAAAAGTTGAATGAAACAGCTGACAGGTTCGCCGTCAGCTGTCTGTACAACAAAGACAAAGAAAGGGAAGCCAAGTCAAACAAACGAAGAGGGACTACGAGTTAAATTTCACAGTAAACAATCACAAGGTACTCACCTATTTTTGCTATGCTGGCTAAAAGGATCCACAGGCATATAACATAAGGCACTTCAACATGATGAAAGTTAAAAGACACAACTTTGTATCTTTCTGAATGGTTTGATTTAACGCTGTGACTTTCAACTTCGTCAGAACCCTCCGCCCTTGCCACTTGGTTGCCATGAAAAACACAGAATGAAAGCCAGCCGATCACCACCAACCAAACGAGTCTGTTCATATTATTGTTCCTGTTGATGAACTCCATCGTCAACTGTGTGAATTGAGTACATATAGATCTACTACCGTCCTCTTCGGGAAAGTCAGCTGTCCACAAACGACCATGTCTTTACTGTGAAGAAAGAACGCCACGAGAGCCAACCCCTTCTATCTGAGGTGGGATTGACCTGTCATGAACTCTTACAGGTCAGAGTGTGTCGCGCATGCGTCCAACGACCGAGCCCTTGTTACTATTTAAAGGAGCCAATCGTAATCTAGGTCAGTACGAGAGGTAAAGTAGGCCATGTCACGATCTCAAATCCAGTCTCGAGATAGTGAGACAACTTTGTTGAGCTTCACTGTCTTCATCTCTTTCGCAGAGTTCTGTTTTACCCTATGAAACAACTAAAAGACACTCTAAGAAGGAAATTTATAGACACGAGATATGCTCGTGGGTGTGGCCCATAATTTTGACTTCCCAACCCCATGTAACTTTAGAAAAGGTTTCTTTCTTCATTCATGCCTATAATCACTTTAGTCCGCGTCAACTGGTCCTTTCAAAAGGTCCGTATGAAGGAGTCTATTTAATACCCCTGTTACACCTTTTACAGCTCAGTACATTTTTTGTAATATAGACGAGCCTCTTCAAAGTAAGGTCAGGGAGTAGGCCTACTCGAAAACAGTCTGCTGACCAGCCAAACAGCTGATATCTCGACCCGTCAGCCAAAGAAAGAAAAAAAAAACACGTCTCAGCTCTCGGTGCAAAATCTAAATGTAAATGCATTGTGCGCGTGTTCTCTGTGAACTGTGAACCAAACATTGGAAAATTACAACAACAATAGCAACAACAACAACAATAACAACATCAACAACAACAACAACAACATCAACAACAACAACAACAACAACATCATCATCAACAACAACATCAACAACAACAACAACAACAACATCATCATCAACAACAACAACATCAACAACAACATCAACAACAACAATAACACCAACAACAACAACAACAACAACAACAATAACACCAACAACAACAACAACTTCAACAACAACAACAACAACAACAATAGCAACAACAACAACAACAACAACCTACCTACCTCCTACACGCGCGACAATAACCAGATTGAATAAGAAATAACAATAATGAATAATGTCGAAAAGAGCTGAAACCAGGCCGCTCAAACAAATATCGTGAGTTGTCTATCCTCCGGAACAATTTTATAACATAATACCTTTTCTTTACAAGAAATAAGAGTGG